GAATAGCTGGAATTATAGCCCTCCACCACCAGGCCCAGCTAATTTTTGCATTTTTAGTAGAGGTGGGGTTTCACCATGTTGGCCAGGATGGTCTCGATTTCCTGACCTTGTGATCTGCCCACTTCGGCCTTCCAAAGTGCTGGGACTACAGGCATGAGCCACTGCGCCCAGTCTATTAGCTATTAAAAATTTTTTAAAGGTAACGTGAGAAGAAAGTACTGTAGCTTTGGGAGTTGGTATTGCAGACATAATCTTCCACATAATACATAGAGAGATACTTCCTGTGTGACGACTGCATTGTTGGTCTTGTTTTCAGACTGATTCAACTGATGGAAGAAATAATGGCTGAAAAGGAAAACAAGACAATAATATTTGTGGAGACAAAAAGACGCTGTGATGATCTGACTCGAAGGATGCGCAGAGATGGGTGAGTATAGCACTAAGGCCATTCACTTCTGGTTTTATAGTTACTGGAAATTTCTAAATTGATATTGTAAATGCTGTGTAGTATTTAATAATGCCTATCCATGCAGTTTGCTCTTAAACCTTACCAAAATTGCATGATAGCGTTTGTCTTTAAAGCTTGAATTGCCTCTTTTAAAAAGATTTAAATTTTGGTCACTTTTTTTCTGATAGTTGGCCAGCTATGTGTATCCATGGAGATAAGAGTCAACCAGAAAGAGATTGGGTACTTAATGGTAAGTTTAAAACTAAACATTTTCTGTTGATTTTTTTGTTTTTCCCCCATAAGTGAATGTCCATGCTCTATTTCAGGGATAGGCAAACTTTCTGTAAAAGGCCAGATAGATAAGTAGGCTTGGCTTTGTAGACCAAATAGTGGTCTCTGCTATAGCCACTCAGCGCTGTTGTTTTAGGACAAAAGTTGTAGGTCATAAACAGTATGTAAAGAATGGCCTGGACTGGGCATTGTTGGTGGCTTATGCCTATAATCCCAACACTTTGGGAAGCTGAGGCAGGTGGATCACTTGAGCCCAGGAGTTCAAAACCAGCCTGGGCAACATAGTGAAACCCCGTCTCTAAAAATTAAAAAATAAATTAAAAATTAGCCAAGCTTTGTGGTGCACACCTGTAATTCCAGCTACTCTGGAGATTGAGGTGGGGAGATGGCTTGAGTCTAGGAGACAGAGGTTAGAGTGAGCCAAGAGTGTGCCACTGCACTCCAGCCTGGGTGACGGAGTGGGACCCTGTCTCAAAGAGATAATGTGGCTCTGTTTCAACAAAATTTATTTGCAAAAATAGGCATTGTGCCAGATTTGGCCCAAAGGCCAGTTTGTCTTATTCCTATTGTAGTTAATTGAATTACTGAGGGCACTTTTAGCATGTCCTAATGGTTCTTTTTTTTTTTGAGACGGAGTTTCACTCATGTTACCCAGGCTGGAGTGCAATGGCGCGATCTCGGCTCACCGCAACCTCCGCCTCCTGGGTTCAGGCAATTCTCCTGCCTCAGCCTCCTGAGTAGCTGGGATTACAGGCACGCGCCACCATGCCCAGCTAATTTTTTGTATTTTTAGTAGAGACGGGGTTTCACCATGTTGACCAGGATGGTCTTGATCTCTTAACCTCGTGATCCACCCGCCTCGGCCTCCCAAAGTGCTGGGATTACAGGCTTGAGCCACCGCGCCCAGCCCCTAATGGTTCTTTAAGGTCCACAAAGCTGGTTCTGCAAACTTTTTCACAACTTTCACCATTCGCCTTAATAAAGTCTTCAAATGTTTCCTTCTGATTATAAAAATAAAATTACCACGTGGGGAGAATTAAACAGTTACTGAGATATTTAAAGAAAAAATTTTCTTAATTTTTGATCCATATTTTAGCATATTTCCTGCCAGTCCTTTGTTTTTTGTTTTTTAGGACTTTTTTTTTTTTTTTTTTTTAAGATGGGTTTCACCATGATGGCCAGGCTGGTCTTGAACTCCTGATCTCAGGTGATCTACCCACCTCGGCCTCCCAAAATGCTAGGATTACAGGCATGAGCCACCTCGCCCAGCCCTCAGGACTTCTCTTAAGGGAAGCCATTGAGTGAAATAGAAGAGACCATATTAAGAAATAATACACAGCTGGGCCCAGTGGCTCACGCCTGTAATCCCAGCACTTTGGGAGGCCAAGGTGGGCGGACCACCTGAGGTCAGGAGTTTGAGATGAGCCTGACTAACATGGAGAAACCCCATCTCTACTAAAAATGTAAAATTAGCCGGGTGTGGTGGTGCATGCCTGTAGTCCCAGCTATTTAGGAGACTGAGGCAGGAGAACCGCTTGAAGGCAGAAGGCAGAGGTTGCAGTGAGCTGAGATGACGCCATTGGACTCCAGCCTGGGCAACAAAAGCAAAACCCCATCTCAAAACAAAAAAGAAATAATATGCATACCTCTTGGGGTGGGAATTAAACTATTTTCATTTCACATCTTTTAAACTTGCCTTCTATTGCCCCCCAACTTCTGGTTGTGCCTCATTTGGGAAAAAAAAGAAAAAATTCTGGCATATGTTAATTATGTAACAAACTGCCATACTATCTTAACGTAACTTTTTGTTTATTATCTAACTTTTTGTTTATTGTCCTGCTGAAGATGAGTGTAATAAAGATTTTCAAAATCTCTCATATCTATAAGAGCTTGGGATTTTCTGACACCATTGTTTGAAATTTTAACATGGTAATATAAACAGACCAGATAGCTAGGAATGCTTATTTGATGATGATTATTGTTTGTTTTTACAGAGTTCCGTTCTGGAAAGGCACCCATCCTTATTGCTACAGATGTAGCCTCCCGTGGGCTAGGTTTGTATAGATAGGTGTCTCTGTCAATGGTATATATATCTTTTGGTTTAAAGATTTGTTATTTCAAAATCAAACTTCAAGTTTAGAAAATTATATATACATGTGGTTAGATAAATATTTGAAGAAAAGAATACAAAGCGTGATTCTCCCCATTCCCCCTCCCCACAGTATTTTTTTTTAACTTTGGTTTTCCCCCCACCCCCCTTTTATTTTCAAAGTCTCTTCCTGCTCCTAACAAACAGGCTTTGGTCTGCAGCAGGGCCTGGGCATGAATATTCAAACAGTTAGAGGGAGAAGAGACAGTTGAATGGCTCAACTTCTCTGGTGGTGTTTTCTGGCTTGATAGAATAAGCCCAACGAAACCTAGCTATTGTAAACTAGTTTCTTCATTTAATCTTTTCCCTATCCCTGTCTGTTTAAGCTAGATATATACAGAGAGGTCCAGTTTTATGAATGCTTATTAGATGGAATTTAATAAGTCTATAACAATAGTATCAGAACAGCAATCAAATTTATATTTGCCCAGTTTAATTTACTGAGGCCAGATTATCATGGGCATTTGACTGTCCTCTTCTCTTACCCATGTCCTTTTATTCATAGGTGTGTTATCCAATTGAAGAGTTTAATTAAAAGATGGTTTTCTGGAATTTTTTACCCATTACCATTTAAGATATGCAGGGAATTTTATGGTAGTTTAGGCTACTATCCTGAGCTAAACAGATCTAACTCAGAACTTCTATATTTTAAAAAAGATTATTTGTATTTCAAGGAAATCCTTAAATTATTGACAGGTATTTAATTTGCCTAGTAAGTAAGAAGTAAGGTGAGAAGTACCATATTATTCCCTTATACTATTTAATATAAAGAGAACAGGTATTCAAACTGGAATACGAAAGTAATGAAGCTTTTTATTCCATTGCACTCATCATTCCCTCCTTCAGAGGTGGTGACCTGCAGCCATGATGGAAAGTTCTCTCTGCCCCTCTGCCCTCTGAGGCCATGTCTGGATCTGTGCCATTAGAACTTGGGCCTGCTGGGAGAGGAGGCGGAGGCCTGAAAGCAGTTTACATAAACGCTTTCAGTAATGGTTGGTTTTTAAACAGGCTTGCTATGTGCTGGTAGCTTCTTTGTGCATCTTGCCTAGACAATTAAAAATATTTGCTCCCCCTTGCATTTCTAAACCAAATTAATTGGCTACCATTAGAATAACTTAGACTCTCATCCCACCCCCCACTTATCCAAGTGAGGGGAGAGGGAAGGTACCCGAGTCTGTTTCTTGTTACTCAACATCAGTGCTTGTTTTGGGCCCCTTTGTTTGCTGCCTTGTAAAAAATCAAAAGAGGGAGAAAACCCACCAAAATGGCAGAATTCTGACCAATGTCCTACAAGATCCTGGAAAGTGAAGGCTTCTACCTCATAGACAGGGGTGCAATTTTCAGCTGAGTCACCAGGCCTTTTTTCACTTCCTGTCAAGCGATGGTCTCTTAAATGTTCCCTTCAGGTAAGTTCTTTGATTCCCATAATTTTATAATAGTCATCCTTAGGTTACCACTTCCCTTTCCACTGGGATAGTTTTTATTTTTCTTTTTTTTTTTTTTTTTTTTGTTTAAACTACACACTGTTAAACTAAAAGTATTGAATTTATTTTGTTTTGTTTTTTAACAGAAGCTTTGATATCAGCTGCAGATCACTCAGTATATGGCCGTGGCAAATCTACATTGGCCGGAAGCAGCTCTAGATGAGCCTGTTGGCTAGACTTAGTCCCTCCTAATTAGTGTGGAGATTCAGGCCATGTCATAGGGCCTTTCAGACAAAAGGTTCTTATCCCAGGCAGCTGGCCAAAACATTAACTTTCCATTTCTTACCCTGCTACAGCATCTTCTAGAAAGCCAGCAAGATAATATTGTGGCAGTGCACAGATAACATCAGGGTAGACTTGACTGGAGAAAACCAAATTCTGCGCTTGCTCCTATGTGCCCCCAGCCAGCTGTGTGTGCACACACAGGACACCTTTCTAGTATGAAGAACTTGCATCATGTCTGCCCTCTATTGAACACCCCCAGAAATACTTCCAAGTATTAGTATGTGAACTGTTGACTCCAGCCCCTGATGCTTTCTGCTAGGAAAGCACACTTAGCATCCAGTGTAGTAATTGAACTTGTTCTGCTGCCATGGTCATATGCAGTGGAATTGTCTAAGGAGCATTATTGTAGCTCTGAAGATGTCATGGAGTAGAATTCCCCACCCTGTGTCTTACATCCACCCTGGCCCTGTAAATTCTTTTTTCCTTTGTTGGCGTCAACGACACTAGCCGGAGACTCAAGCTGCCCCCTGTGATAAGTGCCTTCTCGTCTTTCTGGTGTGATTCAGGACTTTAGGGGTCAGTAAAGACCGAGGAGCCTTTATTGTAATAAGAAACAGACATAAAGCCCCTTCTTCACAAGCCCTGTAATAACAGCTGATTTTTTTTTAAATGATCTCCCCTTTCTCCCTTGAAATTAATCCAGTCTGGGCAATAGATGCAGTCTGACCCTTTGGATGTAACTTATTTTTTTTTATTAATTATTTTTTTCTACAATCACCCCAATTATCCTTGGGGGAGGCGTTGGAGGACCTGAAATTTTTACCCGAACCCAGGTTCTCCGGCGCTTGGCAACCAAATGGGGCTACAGAGAAGCATCTAAGCCAGTTCACAGAGCGAGCGTGTGTGGGGACTTCTCACTGCCACGGACCCTTGATGCATGCTCCCCGCGCTCCAGTGGTCCCGTGTCAGAAGGCGGAGTTTTCGAAAGGAGGCCGCCAAAAATAAAAGGCAAAGAGACGGGATCGGCTGCAGCGGTTTCCCAAAGGAGGAGGGAGTGTGCATCGGTCTGGTAACAAACAGAGAATGTTTTTTAATTATTTATATCACAAAAATCTGTGTTTTATCTAGGATATTTTCTGAATATTCTTTGTAAAATGCAGATTTTTTTCCACAAAACAGTAGGATTCTTTGTTATATTCTTAAAATTGTTTGTTTAAGTAGGTAAAAATAGACATTCAGCTGAAAGCATTACACTAACATTTACATTTTAAGCCTTAGGAGGTTATTCAGCCCAATTCCCAGCAGTGGACAGAATACTAAACTTGTCTCAAGGTTTCATGGTTTTTCCCACATTCTTTGGCTGTTAATTTAATTTCCCAGGTCACATAGACAATCATTGATAATTGAAACAAGCTGAGTTGAAATAACCTTGAGTTGAGCAAAAATATCCTCATTTTGGCAGAAGCTGGGCTTGGTAGTACAGTAAAATTTTAGTGTAATGTGCTCTTGTAATTGAAAGGGGAAAGATAATCGATATTTCTGCAAAGGAAAATAGGTGTGTACTTAACAACTTTGGCTCTACTCAGTTTCTTAAAAATATAAGAGCGAAAAACAACCTAAATGTTTTGATTAAGTTTCCTTTAAATTGTAGTAATACAATATATGAAGCTCCTTTTTTTACTTTGCTCTGTGACTGGTTTAAAGGTAAGTTTGTTATGTTGTTGGTAGATTTTGCCAGGCTTCTCCCAACAGAGTAGAAGTGATTTGGCCTTGTAACTTAACAGTGGTTTACTACTTTATTCTATGTTCCAGTTTTTAAAAGGAAAGTATTGGAATTTGGGTCTGAAGACCAATCTTGGTGTAACTCCTGTCAGTGTATTGGTTAAAATGTAGCAGAGGCAGGAGTTTGGTTGGTTGGATGGGATTCCTTTAGGATTCTACAGCCAATAAAGATGCCACTTTCCATGCATGTCCCAGGAATCAGTCCTCTTTTACTCTGTTGGGATGAGTCTCTTTTTGTTTCTGTTCAGAGTGGTTACTAACTTCACCTTCTTTCCTCTTGCTGTCATCTGCATTCGTGCTTCCCACCTGTTGTTGGCATGTCCTTTACCTTCTCTTTCCCTGCCACATCAACCTACACACTGACTCATCGACATGGAAGATGTGGAAGATGTCAAGTTTGTGATCAACTATGACTATCCAAACAGCTCAGAGGATTATGTGCACCGTATTGGCCGAACGGCCCGTAGCACCAACAAGGGCACCGCCTATACCTTCTTCACCCCAGGGAACCTGAAACAGGCCAGAGAGCTGATCAAAGTGTTGGAAGAGGCTAATCAGGCTATCAATCCAAAACTGATGCAGCTAGTAGACCACAGAGGCGGCGGCGGAGGCGGGGGTAAGGGTAAGTCCTGGAGTTTTCCAGGTACTGCTGAGGTATCTTTTTCTGCTTATTGTGCCTTGTTTTTAGTTATTTTTAACCATGCGAAGGCTTTAAGTATGTTGCCTAACAACAAAGGACACTGCCTCATGCTTTTTGTAACCTTTTTCAATTAAGAAAACGTGAAGTTTGTCGTAATAGTCCTACTTTTGCGGCACAATATTAAGTACATGGTGCTTGTGTACAGTTAAGCTAAATTGTGAATTTTTTTTTCTGTGGTTGCTTTTGCGGAGCAGGGGTGGAGGTAAGAGTCTCACTCTGTCGCCCAGGTTGGAGTGCAGTGGCGTGATCTTGGCTCTCTTCAACGAACTCTGCCTCCTGGGTTTAAGCGATTCTCCTGCCTCAGCCTCCCAAGTAGCTGGTACTACAGGCATGTGCCACCATGCCCAGCTAATTTTTGTATTTTTTGTAGGACAAGGTTTCACCCTGTTGGCTGGTCTTAAACTCCTGACCTGAAGTGACCTGCCTGCCTTGGTCTCCCAAAGTCCTGAGACTACAAGTGTGAGCAGTGTGCCCGGTCATGGTTGCCTTTTTAGTACTTTCAAAAATGCTTAGTAGTATATTAGCTTTTCAGTTTTCCATACGGAGAGATCAGTCATTTTACACTGTTGGGTGGTGGGTAGAAACTGAAACATAGGATCTGGGCTTCCTGACTCATAGTTTCATATTGTAGGACCATGTTTCTTGATTATCCTCAAGTTAAGGACCTAAAAGGGTTGAAAAGGTCTGGTGTCCTTTAATGTTTAATACTTTTGTACCCAGTAGAATTTTGACATTGTTTAGATCATATATCTGGCCTTAAAAGTTTCCTTATATCTTCCCTTTAGGTGGTCGTTCTCGATACCGGACCACTTCCTCAGCCAACAATCCCAATCTGATGTATCAGGATGAGTGTGACCGAAGGCTACGAGGAGTCAAGGATGGTGGCCGGAGAGACTCTGCCAGCTATCGGGATCGTAGTGAAACTGATAGAGCTGGTTATGCTAATGGCAGTGGCTATGGAAGTCCAAATTCTGCCTTTGGAGCACAAGCAGGCCAATACACCTATGGTCAAGGCACCTATGGGGCAGCTGCTTATGGCACCAGTAGCTATACAGCTCAAGAATATGGTGCTGGCACTTACGGAGCTAGTAGCACCACCTCAACTGGGAGAAGTTCGCAGAGCTCTAGCCAGCAGTTTAGTGGGATAGGCCGGTCTGGGCAGCAGCCACAGCCACTGATGTCACAACAGTTTGCACAGCCTCCAGGAGCTACCAATATGATAGGTTACATGGGGCAGACTGCCTACCAATACCCTCCTCCTCCCCCCCCTCCTCCTCCTTCACGTAAATGAAACCACTCAAGTGGTAGTGACTCCTGCAGACTTAATTACATTTTAAGGAACACTTTCTTTTTTTTTTTTTTTTTTTTTTTTTC